TCGATTTGGGTGTGTATCAGACTAGGGAGACTCTCCATATCTCTCTGTAGAGCTTGGGTTAAAGGAACCATCGACTATACCCCTAAAACCACTGTTTGTTTGCCTATTCTACTCCACACCCAAAGATGCATAGCCTAACTTCACACTCCGAGATCTCTGAGGCTCTGCCCACCCCTTCGAGATTTGGGGAGTCTAGGGAGCCTGGCTCTAGTGCCACACTGGTTGCTGTCCGCTCCGAGAAAGAGAGGCAAGCCCATCGCGTGGGCTTTGGCATGTTCTTGCAATCGTCCGTGAGACGGGGATCGTCAGTGAGACAGGACGTGAGACGGGACGTGAGGCGGGAAATCCACGGTCACAGTCTTTTTCAGCCCAGGAGCTCGTTCGGGAAGGCCAAAAAGAACACTAATGATTACACCATCGTGTGGACTAAACTTTCCACACCTCTCACCGGACATTTCACTCCACTTCGTTTCATGTCGGACCTCGGCCACCCTTGGCTCAGACCACCGTTCGGGTGGCTCCGGTTACGCTTCGTGTTGGGGTCCGCCGCGGGGCGAGACGGGCAGCCGCTGCCGCCGGCGCCATGTCAGGTGGCTTTCGGTGGGAACCGGGTGGGTGGACCACATGTTTTAAACAAAAAATGATTCAAAAGACTCTTCTGGTTTTAAACAGAACGATTGTTGGACATCAATGTATCCATGGTTTCTGCATGTGAACGCGCACAACTTCACTTGTTCCCATCTTTGCAATTGATTTGGAGTTGTAGTTGAAAATGGCCGGAAGGGTCAAACAAGTCAGTCGACAAGTCACAGAGGCTTTCTCGGGGCCCTCACGAGAAACCACAGTCCTTCTGTGCCTGCGCACACGCGATTGATGGAGAAGTACCCAAAGCATAGAACATGTTACAGTTACACTGGATGGAAGAATCCCTTGGAATTGAATATGTGAACATGGTGTCCCATAATGTTGACACCACCGCGCATTCTTATATACATGTTCCTGTACTTCTCGAAGAACCAGGAATTTGACCGAAGAACTTGTCCAGTGGCACAGAAAGAATACAGAAGTGTTGCAGAAGATGATATGAGGTTGTTCAGACAGGTATAGTAATTCACACCCTTTCTTGGCATCTTCTTTTGGGCATCGGCTTCGCATGTTGTTTGGATGCGTTCATCTCACGTGCTCCTTCACCTTTGTTTTGGACATCCTGATCCCCAAGGAGCTGACCCTTTTGGTTTGACGGCCTTTTGCCTTCACAGAACACTGCTGAATGAGGTAAGACTCACCATTGGCCATTCCGCACCTGGGCAGATTCACCAAACCAGTCTAAGACTAGGCCAGATGCTTTTCCATGTTTTTCCTTCGATCTGGTGGGAAGGACGGGGTGATTGACGCATTGCTGGGTAAAAACGCGTGGAGACCTTGCGAGGCCAAATGGTGCTGCGGTGCACCAAGTGGGGGAGCCCATTCACCCAGCCGGATTCCAGGCTCCAGGCAGCCGGAACTCCACGTCACCAGGATGTACCAGGAAGTGAAAGTTCTTTCGTCTTGACTAGTGTATGTCTTGACCTGGTATAGATTGGGTGTCTCCTCTCATCTGACATAGCTACTAGTAACAAGGGCATTGCTACTAATTAGTAACAAGGGCATTACTACTAGTAGCTAGAAGCTACTAGTAACATAAGTCGACCGGGGCGGTTTTTTCTAAAGAGGAGGACCGGACTGCGTGAGGTCGGAGATCGGAGCGGCTGAGGACGGGGCGTCTGTTCTTCAGCACGGCGGAAGCCACAGAACATGCCGAAGCGTTCGGCAAGGCCGGGGGGGGGGGGGGGGGGAGTGGGGCAATGGTCCCAGGGAGGATCGGTGGTAACAGAACAGGGATTTGGTGGTCGTGGGGCACCAATTGAATGGTTGAATCAGTGGTAAAGACGTAGGGGATTGAGCGGGAGACATGCAACTGCCTGGTAGGGGAGCAGAGAACAGCGGGCAAGACCACAATTTCCCTCACGTCTAAGAAAGGAACCTCCCCCTGCCAAGTAAAAGCTTATGAAACGAGATGACGGATGTTGGACCACAATTGTTCTTCCAAGTTTGGGGATGAAGAGAGTCTTCAGAGGAAGAGGGGTTTCAGTTTGTGACATGATCCGAATCACTCAAATCATTCGTGAAGGTCGAGAAAGTCTCGGCCGTCAAAGCAGGTGTGTGAACATTCGGGTATGTGACCAACTGATGAGGTCAAAGTTTGCAATCTTCTTGTACTGAACAGATCTGAACAGATCTGATCACGAACAGGGTGTCGCTGCCAATGTTCTAAGCAGCCATTTGCTGATGCGTCTGGTGGGGCGGCAAGGCGTAGTCACCCACTCCACCGGAACTGGGGAAAAACAGAGAATGGGTGCTAAGCCGAGCTGTTCACCTCCAAGTCTCCTGGAGTCTTGAAGCTCCAAGTCTCTGGACTACCCGTTCATCTCTCGGGTGAGGAACTCGAAGGTGGAGATTAGGGAACTAACCTGAAGTTCTCTAGCCTCGTGAACTGGATGTTTCTCAATCACCGAATGTGGGGGCCCACAGGCCTTTCGGTCTATTTGTCCTTCTACCAGTGGCTCTGAATAGTTTTGAGCCGAAGCCAACTCAAAGATGCGCTGCGCTGCTCGCAACGAGTCCAGGAGTATGCCAACTTCGATGAGGTTGGCTTGGATCACAAGGCAGCGACGTGAAAAGCTGGCAGATGTGGGGGGAAGCCGGGTGTGATGCACACCATGCCCGAGAATTGCCTATTTTCTATGCGGATCAACACTGTGGCTCATGAGATGGGCGGTGGTCGTGGAGCTCGACATAAAAGATCAAAACCCTTCGGGGTCCGAGGAAATAGAACCAACACTCCGACTTACTAACATAGAAGTGGATGGCACCACCTCTTCGTAGAAGGTCGTCTTTCAAGGGACCATGCCATCCACTTCTGTGTTACAATGTGGACGAGGTCCACCTGGAGCCTTTTCACACCTGCTGGGTTGTCGGGGGAAGACATCGTCTTTGAACTTGGATGTAAAGCGTTAAGAGGCTTCTTGTTTCTAGTAGCTTCTTGTTACTAGTAAGGCCAGGAGCCCCGTTCGTAGCGTCCGATCGCTCCGTTCGTAGCGATGCCCTTTGCTCTTAGTAGCTCCGGTGTTGTGAGTTAAGAGCGACATGGCCATGTCCTCTCAGCCTTCGTCCACCGCCATGCCTTACTGAACCCCGTCGGGTGAACCCGTCGCTGGAGTGGTGAGCCCTCTCATGGCTCACCGTGTCCGACCGTTGGGCTGTCCAGCGATCCGTGGATGTGCTGAGCTGTTGGTCGATCGCTGGAGGTTCGATGCTGAATCCGAACACAGGCACCGGGAAAGCTGCACTAGCTGCTTTGAAAGGGGGCAGCTCCGCAACTGACCAGGTCTGGGTGGCAGCGGAGACGGGACGTGTTTGCTACACTGAAGCGGACCTTCAGAAGATGAAGGCGGGTCTGATCCAGCGATGATACTCGCCACCGCGTGAGCCTGAAGAATGGCGGTTGGTATGGGCTCAGCCTGAGGAGCTGCCCACCCTGTGAGGGGGGGCAAGAAGTTTCATCATTCACTTGGCCCAAGGTTGGCAGGGTCCAAAGACAGAACCATGCCAACTTGAATGGTTTTTGCATTTACTGTGTCGTTGCTGGATACTATTGTTTTTTGATGTTTCTTGTGAAGCATTTTCGATGTATCCTTGGCTACCACTGTGTCATAGAGTGTCCGGTGGTGAATTGAACATGGGACAACTTGGATCGTGTCACACCTCATTGGGGCAGGCCCAAACATGTCGCTGGGGTCGGAGCAGTGACCAGACAGGTTGGGTTTGACGAGTCACCAAAATGACTTTCCACGAAAGGTGTCATACCTTTGACCGAAGAAACTCGCTTCATACCCGACCTCAAGGACCCCTCAAGGACCCCAAAGCGCTCAAACCGCTGCTGCCGTTCTTGGCAGATGGAACCCTCATGGCGGGGGTGCCAGACCACCGGGTGCCAGACCCGGTGCCAGCGGCTTGGTCCCGGTCCCAGCCCCCCCTGACTGCCAGCACTCGCCAGCGGATCACTCGAGGGATCGGGTCAGGTGAGGGATCCGGACTCCAAGACCTGGGAGGCGAGCGGGGGGTAGAAGCAGCAGCGAGGGGTGAAGCAGGGTCGTCGCCGCGACGCGTCGTAGGCGGTTCGGTGTGTGTGTGTGTTTTTTTTTTTTTCGGCGTGTGCATTTTGTTTGGGAGCAGGGTGAATCGGTCATGCATGTTGCTTTGACTTTCAAGCTATTCGAGGTCTGGGACCGCTAGCGAATCGGCCGTGAAATTCGGGAATGGAAGAATCGCCACTAGCCACTGGATATTTTGGCCAAATGACACATCTGAACTTGGAGTCGCTGGAGTAGACTTAGCATGAGTGCGACATGTAAGGGGCAACGGGACTCAACCTGCCGGCCCATGCATCGTCTTGGGTTGTTGAGCATCGTCGTGTTGCTGACTGCAGAGCCCAGCAGATTGCAGGAGAAAACGGTTGCCTACCTGATGGAGATGCAGAAAAAGAAGGATGTAGCGATCGCTCGGAAGGTGCCCAGAGCCGGGGTGATAGAGCTGGAGCTGTTGGGACACGTTGGGCCTTCTTGGGAGATGAACATCCCTTTGCAATTTAGGTTGGTGTTCACACGTGTTCACCAGGTCATGTAGATTGTTGATGCCACAGATCCACAGCCATCTTGGGATCAAATGTTTGACAAAGGCTGACTTCGTGAGTTTTCTGAGAGCTTCCACTGAGTCGTCCTTTTTCCGCATGACTTCGTGCAGTGCTTTCTTTCAACGGCTCTGAGACGATGTGCTCTTGGTACTGCGAAGACTTTTCTACATAGGCAGTGCAGGAGGCTACGTGCTTCATCCGCCACAGGGGTGGCGGATGTGTGCAGGAGAAGTTCTTCTCCTCTGTGGATCAGAGAAAGCTAGAGCTCATGATCTCCGTGCGGCTCCTCAGTGTGGGTCCAGGGTCCAGCTGCTCCACGTAGGGTCGGGAGTGCTTGATTCTGTCTTCCCCAAGCTGCTTGATTGAGACATCGAAGGCAGGGACTTCTCCACATTTATCTATATAATATGTCATCTGTTGATTTCTACTGCAATGAAGGAACCGTGATTGGGGTGCTGCTTCCTCGGAGATTCTCTCTCCATGATACGGATTTTTAGGCGAAGTCTCTTGGCAAGACGAGATCAGCGAAAGCCCTGCACTTCACTCGGGAGAAAGGGACCATTGAAGCAGCAGAGGCAGTCTGCGCGGCTCGCAGGGCAGCTTGAGCGAATCTTTTGCAAAGCCTGCTTAAGGGTCTACACCGTAGTGGGTTTGAGATTTAATCAATTTCAGGTTCTGGTGAGAATGGCCAAAGAGCTAGCAGATTTTGGATGGATTTTGTGGTTTTGTCACAGATTGGCCTCGGTCTTTTCTACAACGAGCTCAAGCCAGCTCCATGCTTTTGACTCTTGACTGTTGCTTCAACTTATCAGCAGTGGCTGCAGGTCTAGGGCAAGTTCAAGATGTAGATCTTTCCTGGGCGTTGAAGCATGATCAAAGCATGATCAGTGATCAGCCATTTCAGTGCAGCTCACGAAGATAGCAAGAAGTCGAGTATCAGGAGGCTTTTCTTGGCTGTCATGGTTTCGATGTCATAAGCCACAGTAGTCTTCTGGCACAGAAGCCTCTAACCTGAAGTGATGCACCGTTCACATGTGATGAAGTGAACTCCACAACAAAAGTGAGGGGTTTTCTCGAAAACCAACGCCCTCTAGCACTGCCTGGCTCGCCGTGCTAGGCTTGGCTGGAAGAAAATCAGAGCTTGCCAGATCTCGAGCCTTGGACTGGAGAACTCGTGCTAGGCTTTGTCGGTGCTCAGTTTGATTCTTTCAAGTGCGAGAAAACCTTCTTTGAGGGAACGTCCTGCGCGCTGCCATCGCAGCGTCTGGCGGCCATCCGAATACCCTCTCCGTCCGCGAGACCGACTGGCTGCATGATCGAGACAAAGAAAAGAACGAGACGAGTTCACGCAGCATGAGATGTCTCGTTCGACCCCTTGACATGTCACCCCCTTTCCAGGGCTCCCAATAATATCCAACAATGCCGCAATGCCTGCAAATAAAAACAAATAAATATCAATTTGGACCACCAAAAGAATGTGCAATTTCAAGAGGGTCGAAGAATAGAGTGAATACTGTATATATATATATATACATGTACGTATGCACGCATATACAACTACTATTTGGACCCCTTAAACACAATTATTTTGAAGGGATTGGCAAAATAGACTACGAGTCGAAAAACAAAGTGACTATGTACAGTAAACTATGCAACTGCAACTAAGCTGGATTATATTAAGACATAGACTGTTGAGAGGAGTCGCTTTTTTGCCTTTCATAGATGTGGTGATGCAAGTGATACGATACTGAAAGAAATAGTCAGATACATGATATGTCAAAACCATTTGTTTTTCAACATTTTCTTCCACTTTTTTTTGTCTCCCAGGCACATCTCGTGATGCATGTTCGTGCCCAAAACGAAAGTCCACCCCAAGCTAAAGCTGTATAGCGATGAATGCGCTCTAATGGTGATACGCCTCTCAGCACCTGCAGCGCGGGCGGATTTATGGGTTTTGGAAGAGTGAGACGCCAGGTGACCCAAGGGGGGTTGAGTGAAATTCTTGTGTTTTCTCTTGTGTCTTCCAAGGGCTTTTTTCAACACACGGACATCTCCAGAAGTGGAGATGTACTTGCTAGACATTAGCGTGGACACAGATGGAGCTTTGATGGTTTCTGCAGAATGACGCATTTTGAAGTTTGGATGTGTCCTCTTGCAACTGACGGGTCAAAGTGTCGGCGTTGCCCCAGCAAGGATAAGCTCACAGACGCTTTTGTGGAGGAAGCTCTGGCAAGTCTAGGCGGGAAGAAACGCACCTCCAAAGGAAGGGACACCAGCAGCCGTGACAAGAGGAAAACCAGTTCTGCTTCGGGTGCACGTAATCCGCCAGCCTCAAGGGGTATGACCAGGCATCCTCGATACTGCCTCTCGGGAAGGACCCGCAGGAAACAAAGCATCGTTCACTTGTGGTTCTCTTTTTTGCAATGCTTCGTCCGGGCTGCAGGTGATGTAGTCCGAAGCTTAGGTACTGTAGTTATGCTGTCGTTGAAACTGACTTAGTCAGTCTGTCAAGATTCAAGATACATGAACCCAATTTTGCAGTGCCCTTCAAAATTCAGGACTCACATTTTCCTTGGCTTGTTTTGCCGTACCTGAAAAATATGCGTTGCCCAATGCCAGACAGATCGTTCGATCCGGGAGTTTTCCACTCGATTCTTTTGCTTCCAAGGAGATGCCAGATGCCCATGCCGATGTGGACATGACACCAATCGATGATCGCAAGATCGGCGATCCCAATCCACCCGAGATCAAGGCGAAGCGCGGGGAAATAGGAGGGAAACCGAATCCCACATGCGCTCTTCATTGGCAGCCCGAGGTGTGCACTGCGTGCCGTGGACGGCAAAAACACCTACTTGCCGTGGCCACAACCAATGGGCAAGTTCCCCCAGCTTTTGTGGCAGGAGAAGATCAACCAGGATTTGCTCAAGCAGGTCATGGAGATGGGCTTTTCCGAAGTCCGCGCGGAGAAGGCCGGACGATTCGCCCGAAAAAAGAAGGCGCGCCACACGCATCGTCCCTGGTTTTTCTTTTGGTATTGGGGGCTGCAGTTGCATGATTGAGGTAAACTTCTTCTTCTTCTTCTTCTTTCTATTGTGCGCCCAAAAAGAATACAGGATGGAAGCTAGGGTTGTGAATGGCTTTGGCTGGATGTAGATTTTAGACGTCAGCAACCAGTTTGCCAAGCTTTAGGCTCTCTACAAGACTGACAATGCGAGCTTGGAGTACGCTGTGCCACGTTTTGTATTGGCTTCACTGAGTGTGGAGGTTCTGGAGAAGCTTCATCGCTATACAGACGTATCAGTGTGATTATCAGTGGACATATCCATCTCAACCATGAACAATCAAAAGGATTTTTAGTTGTTCCCAAACAAGCAGAAACGGCTGGCTATATTCTTAGCATTTCTTAGCGAGGCTGCATGGGTTGAGGGCTCCTCCCCCAGAACCATTCCTCAAGAATGTCAAGTATTTGCACCAAAAAGAGAATTTCAGAAAAGAAAGACCCCCATGTCGTACCACATTCCGCCTGGCATACATACTTGTTTATTCAAGGATCTCTTCTCCTGGCACTGACACAGACATGTCAGTGTCGTGCGGCCTTTCGCACGCATGGCCAAGCTGAACAGATGGCCCAGCTTGGTGGCCGACGTGGCCAAGGTCAACTGGCTCGCTGAACACGCCGAAGATGCCGACATTGACCTGCCCCTGCTGAAGCCGCCTCCTCCAGCCCCTGTGAAGCCCAAGATGAGTGTCTCAGCCGCCACATGTCCCATGCTTCTTGAAGCATGTAATTGGATTTCTCAAGAAGAACTCCCAATTTGTGAGCTCCTTCTCTACCTTTTCAATCCTTTCTACTTTCTTTCCAGAGGTAGCTGTCGGACCTCGGATTTTGAGAGAAGCTTCATGGACATCATGTTTTTGCACTTCAAGAAAGGCTCAACAAATCATCCATGTCGATTCTCCCCTCTGATCAGCTTCAAACATGTTTCGGAAGTCCGTTTGCCCCAATAAGGCAAAGAGGAGGCGGAAGCCAAGGCACTGGAACTGCAGAAGCGGCTTAGAGAAAAAAGAGACCCTTGACCGCAGAAGGCCAAGATTTCATCAGATTTGACAGGCCTTGCAGTCCAAGATGTTGAGCTTGGAGCGACAGTGGTGGGAGGTTGAGCTAGGCCCCGTTAGACACCACACCCTTTGATTCAATACCGAATTGGATCGTCGAAATGATTGCCGGAACTTCCAGTACTGCGGCACGTGTGCTCAAAAATCAGCGCCAACTCTTGGATCCGACCCTTCAAAATGGCTGAAGGGCTGGAAGACTCGTGAACTTGAAGGGCTGGCGAAAAAAAGAAAAGCTGATGTGTCGGAAGGAGCGATTGACAAACCCATGTTCCCCTCAAAACAGGCAGAGAGCCGAACTTGGAGGTCTCGGAAGTTGGCCAGTTCCACTTGCTAGAACTGCTAGAGCTGCGCCCAAAGAGGTCATCGACTTTGAGATACACTTGGCATCTGACTTGCCAGAGCTTGCAAGCGCAATCTGTCCTTCGTATTCTCAAAGTTTTTTAGGGGACCTCATGAACTCTTCCGATGGCCGCAAGAAATGGAAAGGGACTTAGGGACTTTATTGAGCTTGAAACACATCCTTCTGCGATGCGCTGCAAGTCACTGCCGCCCCTTTAGTCTACACCTGCGACAAGCGGGCATGCGGCATGATGTCCGATCAAGTACAGTAACTTGAGGAAACACCCAGTCAATTGAATAAAATGAATGGACATATGCCAGTCACCAGTCGGTGATGATATACAAAGCTGAGGCAGCAGAAGAGAAGGAGAAGGAGAAAGAGAAGAACATTAGCCGCTATAGCCTATAGCCAATTGATTGCTGCACTTCATCGCTACCACTTGAAAGGAGGTGCTTTCTGCCAAGATGCGCCTGCCCGTTCCATTGTTTCTTTGACGATTCTGTGACTTTGCAATTTTGTGCCGAAAACAGTGCTGGGGTTGGGACATGTTGTGGCCTCTACCCACGTCTATCCACGTTTGACCGTGTTCCATTTGCAGGAGGCACAGAGAAAGGAATCTACAAAGCTAATGGCCGAAGCCCAGGAAAGGGCGAAGGAAGAGGCAGCGGGGCAGAGCTGGGCAGAGGGCCGAGCATGGTTTGACAGTCGCCCAGGGTACTAACAGGTCCTGATAGCATGTTTGAATCGAGTTAATTACACAATCCGGTCACGATCCAAACTATATGTGTCAGCGTAACTGACACTGGAGCGCAACCCGGAGCCCTAAAACCTGGTAGCTTGACCTCCTCAGTAGTCTATTCTGTTCATTTTCAGTCACTCAGGGTCCGTTCAGGTCCGTTCTGACCGACTGCCATATGTGTTGATTGATTTATGACCCCCCCGGACTTTACATCCTCTTCACATGTGTTTTGTTCGTCGAAAGTCTCTTGTGGCACAGATTCGCACAACACATGTCACTTGGGCTGAGCCGACGCTTGATGCAAGGCTGAGTGCGACATTACATATCTATCAAGAGTCTACATGATAGCTTGCGGTCACTGACCCCAGAAAGCTCGAAGTCAATGCTAAAGGATTGAGTCTATAATGAACTTCCAAAAGATATAAATATGGAACGGTCCTTCGCAAGTTTCGCATCAAAACACGGTCCCCTTCGTTCTCGTCTTTGACCCCAAAGAGACGACTCGCTCGGTCGCCACACAGACCGACCGACTCGCCGCGGGAGACCGACTCACCCGCCCGACGAGATGGATTGCCAGGATCGCCGAAGGGCGATTGAGCAGCAGATGCGCGAGCGCCTCGGATGTCCGGGCAGGACTTGGAACTCGGGGTAACCCAGTTTGGGGAGGTGTTGGAGGGCCTTGATGGGGGGGATGATGTGGGGTGGAAGGGGATGGAAGATTGCGAAGAGTGTATCATCTAAGATCTTCATGTTTTTTCATGTATTTTCATGTAATATCTTCATGCTACGAAGATGATGGCTGGTTTCACTTTGATTGACGCAGCTGCCCATGCAAAGACGGATTTCCCAAGGAAAGAGGAGCATGACAGGCATCGAGCTGAGCTGAAAGAACGCTTGCGTCAGGCAGGGTTGCGTACCCACCAGGTTAATCAAGTAGGCATGGGCACTGCTGGTGCACAAAAGATCTAGTTGACATGCATCGGTAGCATATACTTACCCTTACCCTGGAATCCATAAACAGCAATACTAAGATATACTAAGTATCTGCATGTTGCTCTTGTGCATTTTCCAAACATCAGATCCTTGCATGTCGTCGATTGCTCCAAACATGTCGATTTTGACATCTTCGCCACCCTGTCCGCCGACACGGACAGTCCTCAGGACTACATCGATCGCTTCGGCTGTGAGCCGCCCGAGGAAAAGGACCGGAAAAGAGGTTCCATCATGCTCCATGATGTTCCATATGGATAGTTTTTTTGGTTTAAACGCCCGCCCCTACTTGATCAAGTAAGGGAGTAAGCTACGAGCTACTTAGTGCTACTAGTATGGATGCAGGACAGCTCACGGTTCTTCAAGGAAGCTCCCCCCGCCTGAAGAAGCGCTCACACTAATCATTTGGTTCCTAGATTTTCAGAGAAACTTAACCTGTGGGATTGAAGATGTTCTTCCCAATTCGAAGGTCGTATGTGATGTTGCGTCGAAGCTGCGACATCGATGAAGTCTTTTTTTAATTATATGTATTTTATTTTTATTTTTTGCTTCGTCAGGAGGAGGAGTGCGTGAAGGAAAAGACCAGTAAGGAGACAGCAAGACCGTTCGTTGTGCATCTGGTGAAAGCAAAAGGGAACTCGGTGGTTTTAAGGATGAAAACACATGAACACCCGTCAGTCATCAGGATTTCTCGTGATCGACCTACCAGTTTTTCATACCACAGGTCAGAGTTCCTTTTGTTTGTTTTGGTGTTCTGTTTGATGTTCAGTATCATCAAAGGAGGAAGCACGACGGATGTTTGGCCTCCCCGCCTCCATGGCGTGGTGACTTGGGGTCTGCATGTCGTCCTGTCCGGGATCAGCATTAGGTTCGGTGCATGCACCAAGCAGCACCATGTTCCTTTCGAGGCCCAAAACGGAAGTCTTAAAGGCCAGGGCCGTGCTCTTTGCATCTCCTTAGCTGTCCTTGCCGTCCTTGACTTCTCAAGAAGGGTCGCGTGAGACGGTGAGAGATCTTGAGGGACTTCCTTTGGAAGATAGACTTAGGGTTCCCTCTGAAGGAGACGGGAGTTGCTTGCACAACCCCCACACGATTGTTTTGGCGAGCCATTTTTCAAGAAAACCCACATGATCTGAAGGGATTGGTCTAGTTGTGCGATTCTACTGAAAGAACCGAAAGAGCCAAAACTGACGGAAGGAAGCGGGAGATGCAGAAGTCACTCCCCTTCTCCTCTCTTGTGCTTCAAATCGTAACCTGACTAATTCTGTTGGCGAAAACGAAACGCAAGTTGTGGTACAAATCAAGTCGGCCGTGGCCGTGATATACCCCCCAGTGGGCCACCTCAGCGCTGCAACCCAGTGGTCTTACTGGACAGTTCTTCGAGGGCCAGTGGCTCTCGTCTCCGGTCAATCTCTGCAGCGGTGGATTGGCTGCGCGACCGGACCGTGCCGGATCGTGCCGGACCGTGCCCGCTGCGACGGCCTGTGCCCCGGGCTGCCCGAGAGATTCCCGGGCGAAATTCGTTGCTGTTGAATGGGCAATGAGATGCCATGAGATGGGCCATGATGATTTGACAACCCAGAAAGTAGCTGCACACGTGACTCACATTGAACCGATGGCCATGCCGCGTGGTTGCTTTTCCTAGCAACACCTTGTTCCGCAAAACCGCCACCTTGTTCCGCTCTGCCGAGTTCCCTGCTCGCAGGAGCAGCTCGCGTTCCACCTGAATAAACTGAAAAAGACATACAAGGACCGTCCGCACTTGGTGAGTCCAAGGAAACGGTCCACTCGTTCTGAGTTGCGCTCGTTATGATGCTAAGCTAAGGACACGAATTGAAAAGCATACGGCCGTACTTAGCTGTTGTTGGTGTTTC